AATTTTTGATGTACTTACTCAATATATATTTATTTAAAAATAAAATTTAATACAATAGACTTTATTATGCAGAACAAAAAGAGATGAAGAAAAAAAGAAAAATTGCGTTTGGTGAAGAAGTAGTCAATCAATGTCAAACATGAGAGATATCTCTCTAATTGAGACAACACAAAAGAATATCAATGAAACAACTCCTGCCAGCATACTAACTTTTGCACAAAGGAGAAGAATTGTTAATCGAAACTATTATCAACGAAATGTCAATGGTAAATACTATCCGGTTATCCACACTTTAGAAACTTTAATGTTCATATAAACTTTAGACTCATTGACATGTTTTTTTCCATAGGCATTATAAATAAGCATGGAAGATTGCTACCTCTTTTTGACGAAGCTGTTAATCAAGAATCGAAGAGTTAGTATTTTTTTTCGAACTCGATCATTTTTAACTTGACCTTCGTAGTTCTTTATAATAATAATATTTATTTGTCGTATCCAAATATCTTTGTTAGGCGCTCAAAGGAGAAGAATTACTAACCGAAACTATTATCAACGAAACAAGGAAMATAATAGAAATGTTGAGATCCAACAGGAGGATCCATACAATTTTGTTTATGRTGGTGTCCCTAAACAACATCGTGTGTTGAAGGAACAAAATGCATGTGAACATTGTGGAGCAAAGCGGTTCGAATTTGAATTCCCTTCCTTTTGTTGCATGAGTAGGAAGACAAAGTTGGCATACTCACCCGTTCCAGAAGAATTATACAATTTATTTACAACACAATCAGAGTTAGGCGAAATGTTTAAGCACAATATTCGTGCATACAACACAAACTTTTCCTTCACGTCAATGGGGGTAACTTTGGATAATACAGTAAGCAATATGACATCTGGAGTATATACGTTTCGTGCTCAAGGGGGAATATATCATAGAATCGATCAGTTAGTTCCGAGGGATGGACATCCTCGGTACTTACAACTTTATTTTTATGATGCCGAATCTGAGCTTTCGCATAGACTACAATGGCCAAATCTTGATGGAAACGTCATTGAAATGTTGACTCGTGTTCTTTCTATAAACCCATACGTGAGAACATTTCGAAGTCTTGCTGAACATTTCTATAAACGTCATTGAATGCTTCTGTGGAACTTGACCAGAGGGTGTACAACCGACCGACCATATTTGAGGTTGAAATACAAGTACTTATTTTATCTCATTTATAATAAATGTATCATATGCATGGTATTGAAGCAAATTCTAACATTCTACAGGTTGCTGGTATTTG